AAGGAAACTGAATTCATGCTTGCTGGAAGCTAACCTTAATAAACATTGAATTGTTTGCATCTCCAGACTTTGGGTTTTGCTGTTCTCTGTTCACGTGGAAAAACCAGTAAAGTGGAAGGGTGAATTGATAAGCCCTCTAAGGGCATGTCTACACTGCACACTTATTTCAGATTAAGCTATTTCGGAGGAAATACTCCAAAATAGCTTATTTCAAAATAGCACGTCTACACAGCAAATGCCCATCAAAATAGCGCTGAGCTATTTCTAAATAGAACATCCACACTCATTGGATGCTGAATTGCTTTAAAGGACACCCAGAAGCACTTCAGGCAGGGCATCAGGACAATACTCACTTCCTATAGCTGCTGCCTGAGGCTATTTGAGGCTTGAGTTTAAAGGGACCCTGCTGTACAGCCCTGTCTCAGGCTCTTCTTCTTTGCCTACCTCTTGGAGGGAGAGCAAAGCCTTTTCTCTGCCTGCTCTGGTTGCCCTTACGGACACCACAGCACCCCTGCCTCCTGCCGGATCTGCCTCCCAGAAGTCGACGTCTCTTATATGTCTTGGTGCAACTCCTGCTGCAGTTTCTACAGACTGCCTTCCTGGCGCTGCAGGAACAGGACCCCCAGCTCCTTGTGGGGCAATTCCTCACCCCTCTCTGGGTGCTGCTTAATGCAGCTCAACCCCTCTCACCCTCCTGCCACTTCTGGCGACTGGACACCAGCTCTGACTGGTGGGACTGGATTTTCCTGGAGTAGTGGGACAACCAGTAATGGCTCCAGAATTTCCATATGCGGAAGGACACTTTTCTGGAGCTGTGAGAGTGGCTCATCCCTGCCCTCCGGTGATGCCCTCTGGAGCTGTGAGAGTGGCTCGTCCCTGTCCTCCGGCCCCCCACATGAAACTCATCCTCCTCCTTCAGAAGCGGATTGCCATTATCAGTTGGAAGCTTGCCATGCTGGACAGCTACAGATCTATCAGGAACCAGTTTGGCATGGGGAGATCAACCACTGGGGCCCTGGTCATGCAGGTATAGCATTTTCAGGCTATTGTCCCAGGATGTGGTTGGACTGCTGGAAGGGGGATCCCTAGGGAAGGAGGAGTTGAGGTGATGGGGGTGGTGGAAACCCCCTCCCATGGAGGTTTCTCAGTCCCGCCTTCACAAAGCCCTGAGAGTAGATGGGGCAAGTTGGGGCTGCTCCTAGTGTGCAGTGGCTGGGGGGAAAAGGGGTGGGTTGGGCTTGGGGGCCTCCCGATGGGCCTTGGGAATCCTGTGATTTTCTGTTTGTTCGTCTCCTTCTACAGTTGTTAAGGGCCATCAACACCTTCATGATGTGCAGAGTCATCAGCCTGGCCAATGTGGACCCTGTCATTGGTGGCTGTGCCACCATGGGCTTCCTCAACTGTAGGGAGGGGGGCTATTGATAGCACCCATATCCCATCTGGGCCTCCAATCACCATATATCAGAATACATCAACTGGAAGGGGTACTTCTCAATGGCCCTGCAGGCCCTCATGGACACCGCAGCCAGTTCATGGACATCTATGTCAGGTGATCGGGAAAGGCGCACGACACGCGTGTCTTTCAAAACTCCAGCCTCTTCCAGAAACTGCATGCAGGTACCCACATCCCAGAGACAAGAAGGCATGGGAAGGTGCAGGCCAGACTGGGAACCTGCGGGTGGGATGGAGGCCATCAGGTGGCTGCCCTTCCCTCCGTGCTGCGCACATGCTGGCTCTAACAGCGGTGGCATCCCACAGGGAGAGGACTTGTATCCTTGCCTGCTGGAGGAGAGGGGGGCACGGTGTTGGGGGGAGGTGTGTGTGAGCGGCAGATGCTCCTACACCTCACCGCGCTGTCCCCAGGAGTGGATGCTGCCCCAAGAATGCAGGTGTGCCCTGGTGCCATGTGAGGCACTCTGAAGTTTGTGTGTGTGTGTGTCTCCGTGTCCCCAGCCTCCTTCCAGCAGTGGCTTGTGGTGGGAGGGTGCTCCACCCCGAGAGGGTGCCTCACTCTGGTGTCGGGAGTAAGGCAGGCCTGTCCAGACACCCTGTGAGCAGGAGCACAAGAGTCCTCTGTTGCAGCCTGCTGTGGCTGTGTGCCTCAGACTGGCACTCCACATGCTCCCATGTGCACAGGCTTCTGCGCAATCCCCAGGCTGAGAAGGCTGAGCGAGGAGCGTGCAGTTCCCCCTTGCCACGCACCACCTCCACCCATGTGTATCTAGGGAAAGTAATGACACTCACCTGAGGGGCCTTCCCCGGCTTCGGATGATGCCTGGGAGACATCCTGGGTGGGGGGTGCAAGCTCTAGGGCGAGTAAGACCTCTTGGCAGCAGGCACTGAGCTGGTGCTAGCTTCGTCCAGCTCCTCCTCCACCTCTTCCTCACTGGCTGTGTCCCCCAGGAGGGCGACGACAGGCATCTCCAGTTCTGAGTCCATAATGAGAGTGGGGCAAGGGACCGACCTGCCCCCTAGGATGCTGGTGGAGCTGGGTGTAGTATGGGCAGGCCTGTGGTGCTGCCTCAGAGCGGGAGTTCACTCCCTGTCCTTGGTATAGGCCTGCCTTAGCTCCTTTACCTTCATGCATACCTGCTTCTTGGTGGACATGTGGCCATTGGTGGCCAGGCTGTCAGCCATCGAGATCCTGGAGGGTTGCCTCCTCTCCCCAGACCTCAGTGAAGTCCAGGATCTCCACACCAGACCAGGAAGGCGCATGCCTCTTCTGTCCCCAGTCAGGGTCCTCGGAGCTGACTGCTGGCTCCCTAGGAGCAGAGGAGGAATCAGTGGAAGCAATGGGGTTGTTCATGGAGGCCAAACATGTTGGTCTGGCAGCTGCTGTGTGGCTCAGGGCTGTCAGGGCCGGCTGAGAGTCACAAGCCCTTCCCCCTGTGGCTACAGCTTTAAGTGCTGCAGGAGAAGGGGGAACATAGAGTTTTGATGAGTGTGGCCAGAGTGGCTAGCAGGGCACTTGTGGGAAGGGCTGGAGGACTCTTATTTCAAAATAATTCCATCTGCCCTGTCTACACACACCCTATTCTGAAATAACTATTTCAGAATAGGCATTTTTCCTTGTACAATGAGGGTTACAGAATCCAGAATAAGATGCCAGTTATTTTGCAATTATTTTGAAATAACAGGCTTGCCATGTTTTCTGGAGCTGTGAGAGTGGCTCATCCCTGCCCTCCGGTGATGCCCTCTGGAGCTGTGAGAGTGGCTCGTCCCTGTCCTCCGGCCCCCCACATGAAACTCATCCTCCTCCTTCAGAAGCGGATTGCCATTATCAGTTGGAAGCTTGCCATGCTGGACAGCTACAGATCTATCAGGAACCAGTTTGGCATGGGGAGATCAACCACTGGGGCCCTGGTCATGCAGGTATAGCATTTTCAGGCTATTGTCCCAGGATGTGGTTGGACTGCTGGAAGGGGGATCCCTAGGGAAGGAGGAGTTGAGGTGATGGGGGTGGTGGAAACCCCCTCCCATGGAGGTTTCTCAGTCCCGCCTTCACAAAGCCCTGAGAGTAGATGGGGCAAGTTGGGGCTGCTCCTAGTGTGCAGTGGCTGGGGGGAAAAGGGGTGGGTTGGGCTTGGGGGCCTCCCGATGGGCCTTGGGAATCCTGTGATTTTCTGTTTGTTCGTCTCCTTCTACAGTTGTTAAGGGCCATCAACACCTTCATGATGTGCAGAGTCATCAGCCTGGCCAATGTGGACCCTGTCATTGGTGGCTGTGCCACCATGGGCTTCCTCAACTGTAGGGAGGGGGGCTATTGATAGCACCCATATCCCATCTGGGCCTCCAATCACCATATATCAGAATACATCAACTGGAAGGGGTACTTCTCAATGGCCCTGCAGGCCCTCATGGACACCGCAGCCAGTTCATGGACATCTATGTCAGGTGATCGGGAAAGGCGCACGACACGCGTGTCTTTCAAAACTCCAGCCTCTTCCAGAAACTGCATGCAGGTACCCACATCCCAGAGACAAGAAGGCATGGGAAGGTGCAGGCCAGACTGGGAACCTGCGGGTGGGATGGAGGCCATCAGGTGGCTGCCCTTCCCTCCGTGCTGCGCACATGCTGGCTCTAACAGCGGTGGCATCCCACAGGGAGAGGACTTGTATCCTTGCCTGCTGGAGGAGAGGGGGGCACGGTGTTGGGGGGAGGTGTGTGTGAGCGGCAGATGCTCCTACACCTCACCGCGCTGTCCCCAGGAGTGGATGCTGCCCCAAGAATGCAGGTGTGCCCTGGTGCCATGTGAGGCACTCTGAAGTTTGTGTGTGTGTGTGTCTCCGTGTCCCCAGCCTCCTTCCAGCAGTGGCTTGTGGTGGGAGGGTGCTCCACCCCGAGAGGGTGCCTCACTCTGGTGTCGGGAGTAAGGCAGGCCTGTCCAGACACCCTGTGAGCAGGAGCACAAGAGTCCTCTGTTGCAGCCTGCTGTGGCTGTGTGCCTCAGACTGGCACTCCACATGCTCCCATGTGCACAGGCTTCTGCGCAATCCCCAGGCTGAGAAGGCTGAGCGAGGAGCGTGCAGTTCCCCCTTGCCACGCACCACCTCCACCCATGTGTATCTAGGGAAAGTAATGACACTCACCTGAGGGGCCTTCCCCGGCTTCGGATGATGCCTGGGAGACATCCTGGGTGGGGGACACCTCACCGCGCTGTCCCCAGGAGTGGATGCTGCCCCAAGAATGCAGGTGTGCCCTGGTGCCATGTGAGGCACTCTGAAGTTTGTGTGTGTGTGTGTCTCCGTGTCCCCAGCCTCCTTCCAGCAGTGGCTTGTGGTGGGAGGGTGCTCCACCCCGAGAGGGTGCCTCACTCTGGTGTCGGGAGTAAGGCAGGCCTGTCCAGACACCCTGTGAGCAGGAGCACAAGAGTCCTCTGTTGCAGCCTGCTGTGGCTGTGTGCCTCAGACTGGCACTCCACATGCTCCCATGTGCACAGGCTTCTGCGCAATCCCCAGGCTGAGAAGGCTGAGCGAGGAGCGTGCAGTTCCCCCTTGCCACGCACCACCTCCACCCATGTGTATCTAGGGAAAGTAATGACACTCACCTGAGGGGCCTTCCCCGGCTTCGGATGATGCCTGGGAGACATCCTGGGTGGGGGGTGCAAGCTCTAGGGCGAGTAAGACCTCTTGGCAGCAGGCACTGAGCTGGTGCTAGCTTCGTCCAGCTCCTCCTCCACCTCTTCCTCACTGGCTGTGTCCCCCAGGAGGGCGACGACAGGCATCTCCAGTTCTGAGTCCATAATGAGAGTGGGGCAAGGGACCGACCTGCCCCCTAGGATGCTGGTGGAGCTGGGTGTAGTATGGGCAGGCCTGTGGTGCTGCCTCAGAGCGGGAGTTCACTCCCTGTCCTTGGTATAGGCCTGCCTTAGCTCCTTTACCTTCATGCATACCTGCTTCTTGGTGGACATGTGGCCATTGGTGGCCAGGCTGTCAGCCATCGAGATCCTGGAGGGTTGCCTCCTCTCCCCAGACCTCAGTGAAGTCCAGGATCTCCACACCAGACCAGGAAGGCGCATGCCTCTTCTGTCCCCAGTCAGGGTCCTCGGAGCTGACTGCTGGCTCCCTAGGAGCAGAGGAGGAATCAGTGGAAGCAATGGGGTTGTTCATGGAGGCCAAACATGTTGGTCTGGCAGCTGCTGTGTGGCTCAGGGCTGTCAGGGCCGGCTGAGAGTCACAAGCCCTTCCCCCTGTGGCTACAGCTTTAAGTGCTGCAGGAGAAGGGGGAACATAGAGTTTTGATGAGTGTGGCCAGAGTGGCTAGCAGGGCACTTGTGGGAAGGGCTGGAGGACTCTTATTTCAAAATAATTCCATCTGCCCTGTCTACACACACCCTATTCTGAAATAACTATTTCAGAATAGGCGTTTTTCCTTGTACAATGAGGGTTACAGAATCCAGAATAAGATGCCAGTTATTTTGCAATTATTTTGAAATAACAGGCTTGCCACGTAGAAACTCGCAAGGTTATTTTGGAACAATGCTGCCATGTAGACATGCCCTAACAGTGTGTGGGGGGAGGGGGGAAAGGAGGGGCAGGAGGGTGGTATCAGAAGAGACGTTAGAGCATGATGTGCTCAAGCAGTTCCCAGCTAGTGTGTAATCAACAGGGGATCTGTAGCCAACTGGTGCCATTTGGGGAAGGCCCTAAGCTGCTCCAAACTGATTCCAGAGATGGGACTGGGGAGAGAACACACACAGATTTGGATGGCTCCCTGACAGCTTACCCTCACTGGTGTGCTAAATCTGAGCTGAATTAAAAAATCAGCCATTTTTTAAAACATGATATGTAGAAATCAAACTTCCGTTCTTTAGTGAACACATGCAACCTCACATCTGCAACTCTTCAGACAGACAGCTGAGAGAGACTGAGTGGAGTTTTACCAGCCCAGAACCAAAAGTTTGCCACTTGCTTCAGAAGAAAACTAGGAAATCTACCCAAACGGTACTTGTTTTCTCTCAAAAGAACTACAAGCACACAAAATAAACCATCTTGTTAGTCTTTAAAGTGCTACACAGTCCTGTTTTTTGTTTCAGCTACACCAGACTAACACGGCTACATTTCTATCACTATTCTACAAAATAAATGGGTTTTATAAGGCAAATTTGCTCTCAACCGTAATGTTCAACATTCTATTAGGAACTGTGAGGGCAAGTCTATACTACAAAATTAAGTTGACCTAAGTTACCTCAGTGTACAGCCACTGCCATAATTGAATCAATTTAACGTGTCCGCTCTATGCTGCTTGTATTGGCGGTGTGCATTCTCGCCAGGAACACTTCTGCTGATTTAACTGAGTGTGAGACTGGCTCCTAAAAGGCAGGACTAGTCAATGTGAGCAATGTAGTGTCTATGCATTGCCCTAAATACATCAACCTCAGCACTATGCTTCTCATGGAGAAGGCATTATTAAGTTCCTGTAGTCGATGAGTTCAGTCCGTGGGTGTTATATTTTAGTGTAGACACTTAAGAGTTGTGTAGGTTCTCTCATGTAGCTCAGGGCTGAGTCATTTGATTTTCTCTCTCTCTATATAAAACACATTTTCCTGCGGGATGACAGAGTGACATCATTATGTCGCTCTGCGTCCCAACACCTGCTTCCACTCTCAGCTGCATGGCCACCTCCCTCTTCCTGGTGCTCAAGGGGAGGAAGAGCTGTGCAACCTCCCCCTCCTGGTGCTCCGGGGGGGGATGTGGGGTGGAGCCAGGGTTGCCACTGTCTTGGCCCGGCCCTGGATGCCAGCAAGAGAGAATCAGGGCTGCTATGGCCTTGGCCCAGTGGCTGAGGGGTGGGGGGCAGGGAGGGCCAGGGTTGCCATGCTGCAGTCTAGCCCCAGCCTTCCCTGACCGCTGGGGCGGGGGGGAGAGCAGGGGGTGCCTACTCCCAGAAAGAGGGGGGTTGGCGAGCACAGCAAGCAGGAGAGCATCCCCTTAGTATTTGTTAGATAATATAGGGATGGGGATAACAATATTTATGATTGGAAATAAAAATCCTTCTGCTGCAATTAGGTTGACTGTTAAAAATGAAAGCAAAAAAGAGAATGCTTTATGAATCTGAAGGGTTCTCTTCCTCATTTCCATGAGAAATAAATACATAAAATGATAGATGTGATAACAGTTATGGTAGATAGGCTTCCAGTGGAAGGGGCATCTTTCATAATGAGATAAAAGTGTTATTTCAGTAACTGCCAAAGCTTGAGCTAGGCTCTCTATAGAAGGAGCTCTTATCTTATCACCAAACACAGCTGTAAGCTTTACAAATGGATCCTTTTGGCTGCCTGACTCTAGCTCCTATTGTTAAAGCCAGTGTTAGAAAATTAATATGCAAATAACTCTACAGTTTCTCATCCTTGGGCTAAGTGTTGCAGCTTATCTGGAATTTAGTGACACTTGAGGTTACATGCTAAACAACTGAAAACTGAAACACATGATAGGAAAAAATAATGTACTATCACAATTCTTGAACTACTGAGTGTAAGGTTTGTTTAAGATCAGTAACTTGGATTCCCATGGTGGGATTCGATACAGTACAGAACTAGATATGACGTTATGGACTAAATTGTGTGGAAGGGTCAAATAATTTAATCTGACTTCCTGTACATCACAATCCATTAAATTCCACCCAATTGCCCCTCTACCGAACACAATAACTTGTGTTTGTCTCTAACTTATCTTCCATTCTTGATCTGAAGACTTCAAGAGATCAAAAACCCACCACTTTCTTTGGTACTTTATTCCAATTAGTCACCCACACTTAAAAATTCTGAGAGAGATAGCTGTGTTACTCTGTCATTTAAAAAATGAATAGTCCTGTGGTACCTTAGGGTATGTATAGACTACATGGCTCCATCTACGGAGCCATGTAAACTAGTTTACCTGGCATAGGCAAAGAAGCGGGGATTTAAAAAATCCCCACTTCATTAAAATAAGCATGGCTGCCGCACTGTGCTGACGATCAGCTGATCCGGCACAGCACGGTAGTCTAGATGTGGATCGATCGACTGGGGGAGCCTTTGCTGACCGATCCCTTATGCCTTGTGAAACTAGGCTAACAGGATCGGTCGGCAAAGGCTTCCCCAGCCGACTGATCCGCGTCTAGACTACCGTGCTGTGCCGGATCAGCTGATCGTCAGCACAGTGCGGCAGCCATGCTTATTTTAATGAAGTGGGGATTTTTTAAATCCCCGCTTCTTTGCCTATGCCAGGTAAACTAGTTTACATGGCTCCGTCGACGGAGCTTTGTAGTCTAGACATACCCTTAGAGACTAACAAAAATATGATACTATATATACTTTTGTTTGTCTCTAAGGGTATGTCTACACAACAGCATTATTTTGGAATAACTAATGTTATTTCAAAATAACATAGTCCACATCTACACACACGCAGTTATTTCGACATAATGTCAAAACAATGTCCAGCCAGGAGACTTCTTACTCCCAATTAGATAGAAAGGGTACTAGCGCAAGAATTTACACAGACAAAGAGCTGTTGGCACCTTCATTGATCTATGCCATCAAATGCCAGCAATGCCCCACAGCTATATGTATTGGACAAACTGGATATTCCCTACGGGAAAGAATCAATGGACACAAATCCGATATTCATAAAGGGAACATACAGAAACGTGTTGGAGAACACTTCAGTCTACCTAATCACTCTTTAAAAGATTTCCAGATGGCTGTCTTGTCACAAACCAATTCTACAAGCCAAATACACAGAGAGGCGTTGGAATTACAATTCATGCACAAAAACAATTCCTCCTCTGATCACCTTTTCAACAGAGATAACGGATGGCTGGGACATTATCAACCTAACATTCAATGAAGGTGCCAACAGCTCTTTGTCTGAGTAGATTCTTGCATTAATACCCTTCCTATCTAATTGCTATCCTTTGATCCTTATCTGCTTCTTTTTAACTATCCAATCTTCAGGGGCTTATAGATTAACAGTTCTGCCTACTTGTTTTTCCTTTTGATATTTTCATACCCTCTGCTCCTTGTTTCCTGCCCCCTTCTATTTTTTTCCTTCACCCCCCTCTCCCTTCCCCCCTCTTTATTTTGGGTCTGCACATCCTAAACTCAAAACTCCGGTCATCTGTAGAAGTGGGCTGTGCCCACGGCAGCTCATGATACCATCTACATATTTTGTTAGTCTATAAAGTGCTACCAGACCATTTGTTGTTTTTTAAGTTTACCCTGTACATACTAACTCGGCTACCCCCTAAAGCAAGAAAATAATGTTATTGAACCATGCCAGGCAGTTGGCCCTGGCTTGTCCACACCATTAACCTGCTGAGGACCACAGAAAGACACAACCTGAGGCAGGTCTTCTCTGACACAAATCCTATTGCCTGCAAAGGCTCCCCCATGCATCAGAGAGCAATTCTAGTTAGTGTCACCCACCACTGACATAGATGAGCCTGTTTAACTGCTCCTCTCTTGCCTTTTCCCATCCCTATGGCATGCTCTGTCAAGACAACAGAAGCTCTGTCTCTGGTGCTCCTACCCCATGCATGCTGTTTTCTCAAGTTCCCTTGGCACAAGTGTAGCTGGAGAAGTTGGTCACACACAGTGGCTGATCTTTGAATATCCCTATATTGTATGTACAGTTGCACGCTACCCCATATGCAAACCCCTGAATGTCCCTCTTACCTCACACATACCCCACCCCACATGTAGATCCCCTGAATCCCCCATCTTTCTACCTCCCACCCAGTCACTCTCCACTTACTCCATCGTCCATTAACAAGTCATTCCCAACCCCTTACCCATCACCCTGGGACCTTCCTCAGCACTGAGCAGCATCCCCCCAGCTCAGGGCTCCAGTCCCATTCTGGGATAGGGAAGTTTCTCCCAGTCTCAGACACCCTGAGATTGTGCCGTACAGGTTTGGCCTAGACAGAGGGATGATGGGCCAAATTTGAGTGCTGTTCTAAGTTCCCTTTGAGCTGTGAACTTGTGTGGCTGTGCAGTGACTCAGGACTGATGCGCATGGAGCTGCTTGTGGCCAGGGGAGAGATACACTCCTTGGTCCCCAGCAGGGAGCCCCCTGCTATTCTCAGCA